CTCTCTCTTTTCTATGGTCTTTCGTCCTGCGACTCATCTCTTTTTGCCTCTTTGCTCTCTTACTCTCTATCTCTGTTTATCTCTCGCTCATGCTCTTGTTTTTCTCTCTTTTTCCTGTCTGTCTGTCCTCTCTAAATCTTCCTCCTCTATTAATAAATATATAATATTTAATATTATATAATATTTTCGTCTTCTCTCACTCATCAGCTCGTTTCTCTCTTCTTTCTCTCTCCATGTTCTGTGTTTCTCTCTCCCCTTGTGTTCATCGTTGCTCAACTCTCTCCCTCCCTTTTCTCTATTTACCGAGCTCTCCACTACAGAAAATGCCACTTTAGCGACCATTTTTTCTACTCTTTCTTCTGTCTCACTCATCACTCTGTCTCTTTCTCTACTTCTCTCTCTTATCTGTCTCTCTCACTCATCTCTTTCTTACCAACCATCTCCTCTCACCTTCACCACTACTGCAAATGTCATTCCACTACCACCATTATTACCACTGTTGCCACTCCATCTCTGACGACTATCATACTACCACCATCGCTACACGCACCCACACCCCCACTGCTACCAACCACCACCACCACTATTACTACCACCACTACTATTACCTTTCCTCCACCACCGCCACTCTATCTCCTCTACCATTACCACAACTTCACCACTAATCTCCTTCGCCGCCGCCACCACCACTACCACCGCCACCGCCACCTCACCTCTTATCCACCACTTTCACCACTACTGCCGCTCCCTCTCCTCTACCACAAAAATTAGCTCTTGATTTTTAGTAGCAAAAAAAAAATGGGCCACAAAAAAAATTATTCATCGAACATAAAAAATTAACTTTATTTTAACGAAAAATATTTTTCATTAAAATTTTACCTCTATTTCTATCAAATAAATAGGACCTATTGGTAGTTTACCCAAGAAAATATTCATACCTAGATCTCGATTAGCACATATGACTGTAAGCCTTGTGGTGGTGATACCACAGAGCAACTCATCAATAGCTATAGGCTAGGGCTAGGGCTCCACATCGATTGAGTTGTCATCAGTTTGACTAATTTGATGGTGGGTCCACTGTTGTTCTATGAAAACAAGCCGACCACGCTTGATCTTATTCTTAGGCTGGGGATTAGAGCTGGTGGAGCCTCCACTGCTTGCTTTTCGGCTTTGTTTACTTCCATTGGAGATGGGCTTCATGTTGCGGTGGCCAGTGGCGGAGCTAGAAAATTAAGTTAGAAGGGGCAGTTATTAATTATAATTTGTTATTTTTAAAAAAATCATGATCAATATTAAGATAAGAATAATTTTATGAGCTAAATTTAAGCATAACAAATTAAAAATCATTATTAATAGGAACAAATCAAAATTCTATAATAGTGTGTAATACATCGGTGCGGGATGGTAATATAAGTTTGGTTTTTTGGCACAAAAATTTACCAGGTTTCAAAATTGCTAATTTTAGAAAATAAAAACACATCATTTATAGCACAAAATATTATAAAATCTATTTAATTTTTATTTGACAAGAATTATTAAACAAATCTTATTGGTTATAAATGATGTGTTTTGAACGTAAATTATTACATAGTCTTCGAGTACCATGTGGTGTTGCCTATGCAATGCTCAAAATATGAGAAATCACAAATTACACTAAATAGTTTGTCAACAACTTCAAAATAATAACTTAATTATATTCAATCCATAAGATTTTGTACTACACTATTGGTTTAAACTACTACATAAATACATTTTGTATATGCCCACAAAACAAAAACAAAAAAAAAATCAAAATTGGAAACATCTGAAAAAAAAATGAGTTGATAATATTGAAAACATCTGTAAAATTTTTAGCGACCAAAATTTGGTCGCAGATCTTGAAATGACCCCGTTTGAATGTTATTTAAGTAAATGTTGATTCAATACCCGACCAAACAGTTTTGTAGTGTAGGGAAAAAATTGCCCTATCAGCCGAGTGAATTTTTCAAACTCTTTATACTGTCACTCCCGCGCACCACTCCTCATACGCACCTCATCGGCGATTCTCCTGCTCGATTGTGTTCAACAAAGTCGCTCCTCCTCCGTCATCGCAGTCGCCTGTGTCAATTTTTCGACCAAGCATCAGCGGCGCTTCGAGAAGTACGTGGACCTCCATTGTTAGGTAATAATATCAACGATCTTCTTGTTTATTTATTTTATATCTACAATTGTGGTTGTCTGTTAAGGCAACTTCATGCTTTGGCAGAGGCTGAATCCAAACTTTCTATTCATCATAAGAGATTATCTGAAATTGAAGCTAAGGTCAACCTTAAATATTACCTCTCTTACTGAACAGAAATACTCGAATAAGAATGAAGTGGATAAGAATTAAGAAAGGAAGAATAGAAAACACTTTTTTTGAGCTTTAAGTCTTTTCCTTTTTTATTTGTTATGTTTCTTTCTCTTAATAATATCAACGATCTTCTTGTTTATTTATTTTATATCTACAATTGTGGTTGTCTGTTAAGGCAACTTCATGCTTTGGCAGAGGCTGAATCCAAACTTTCTATTCATCATAAGAGATTATCTGAAATTGAAGCTAAGGTCAACCTTAAATATTACCTCTCTTATTGAACAGAAATACTCGAATAAGAATGAAGTGGATAAGAATTAAGAAAGGAAGAATAGAAAACACTTTTTTTGAGCTTTAAGTCTTTTCCTTTTTTATTTGTTATGTTTCTTTCTCTTAATAATATCAACGATCTTCTTGTTTATTTATTTTATATCTATAATTGTGGTTGTTCTTTAATTTTGCTCCTAAGAGGTTATGGTTATTCCAAAAGCCATATAGAGCATAATTGTTTCATCATAAATTTTAATCAGTGGATAGTGCTGGTGGCATTCTGTATCTTAACACTAAGCAGCCAGTCACAAAGCTTAAATGCTGATTTTCCTTTATTGTTTTCTTCTTGCCTTGACATTCAGATCTCTAAGCTCCTTACTCTACAGAAAAATTTTGAGGACCTTAAGGCACAGATGGAGCTCAAGTCATACGATCTCTCACTATTCCAGAGTAGGGCTGAACAGAATGAACATCATAAGGTTGTGGTTTTAGCCCCCAATATAACATCTTGAAGTGGGAATTTAAGTGCTGTTTAGCTTAGTCCATTTGTCAGTATGATACCTCATTCTCTGTTTCCTGTACCATTTTATTTATTTACTTATTGGGTGTATTGTAGCTTTGTGAGCTTGTAAAGAGGATCGAGCAGGAACTTTTAGAAGCAAAATCTGCTGCCAGTGAAAAGCAACTTTTGTGCGACGAATGTATAACTACAGTGTCATTGCTTAAAAAATCAATCTGTGAGAATACTAATAATTGGGATGTCAGGCTCAAAGATTTAGAGAAAAAGATTAAGGCAATAAAAGCTCAAGTGCAGTCAGCTTCTAAGGACCTCAAGGTAGGTGTTGAAATTGCTGACATTTATCATAAAATTCCCAGTAAACCTTGTGCAAACAACTTAACTTACTCATTTTTACAATGGATTTCCTTCCTTTTCATTTATATGCAGATAGCAATAGTGATTTTTTTCCCAGCATACTTTAATGCAAGTTACACTTGATTTCATTCCACAGAGGAAGATGGTCCTTTGTTGGCCTTTATAATAACCCTGACAATGCTAGAGTATCAATGTTTGTCCCCTTAAACTTGATGCGACATTGCATGTAATGACTAATAGCAAAATAGTTACCAAATTGTTTCTATCAGATGAGAAGTCAAGAGTTCTGAGTGTATGCCAGCATAATGCCTGAAAAGGCCAGTGACATCAACTATGTTTATCTTTAGATTTCTCATATTTTCCTTATTCTGTTTAAACATATTTTGTTTTTTTTAGAATGTCCATAGTGTTGGAGATGAGATTATATTGCAAAGATATCAAAAAATATGAAGATCCCATTGATTTGTGCTTATTATAACTTTTTGTATCTTTGATTTATTTTAATTCCTTAACTAAAGGGATTTGATTGTATCTCACTCTCTATATATATAGTGTATCATGTAAACAAAAGTGTGAGTTGAGTGAATGAAAGATATAGTCCCTTAGGGCTGTGTGTGTGGATGTAGGCCAATATTGGCCAAACTACGTTAAACCTTTGTATTCCTTCTTTTCTCTCTCCATATTCAACCTTATTGCCTTGTTACAAAATTCAACTAATATATTCTGATATCTTTGACATTATAATCTTATCTTGGACAATATATATATATATATATGGATAAGGTGAACTTCAAAAAGTAAGTTTTCCACCTGTATGACTTAATTAAATGTGGAAGTTTGTTAAATATGGATAGAACAAATACGAGTCAATTGCTTGTCTTTTTATGATTTGTTGTCTATGGTTAGTAAGTCACATGCATACATATAATGAAATTATTTTCTTGGCACTTATTTGTCCTCATTATCTTGTTTGCCCCCCAAGCATTGTGAAGTTGAGGTCTGCTTTATTGATACGAACATTTGATGTTTTTCCACTACGATGATAATTGCAACACAAACACTTTGTGTCATGTTTTGCATGGAAATGGTGCTTTTAATTCCATACAAATTGTCTTCGATGGTGATTATCGATTACATTCATAAAAATCTTAATAATGACTTTGGAGTTCCTTTTGACTTGGTTATGCTTGTGAGTAGGGGCATGCTAATGAAAAGGAGAGGCTTCTTATGGAAATGGAAGCTGTCAAACAAGAATGTGCATCCTTGGAGAGTCAATCAGTTTCTCTGAAGCAGCAGATTACCAGTCTTACTTCAGAAGTAGATGGACATAAAACCAGGGTAAACAGCCATTTATTTTTTTTGCAGTTAGTGCTTCACCTCAATTTCTTCCCCATCAAAAAAAAAAGAACTGCTCCACTTTCTCTTGCAGATTGCTTCCATAAGAAATGCTCATGATCAGGCGCAATCTGAGCTCAATCTTTTCTGCTCAAAGATAAAGGAGTGTGATACACAGATTAGTTGCATTCTCAGGGAGCAGCAGGAACTTCAACACAAAATTAGTGAGACAAATCTTGAGAGGAAGAAGATGGAAAATGAGGTAATGTGCTAAGCGGCTCATGCATTCTCTCCACTTTTTGGCTAGTAACCCACTTTGTTTTTTTTTTTTTTCTTGTTTTTTTTGTTTTTTGTATTGTTTTGTGGCAGGGAAAACGAATGGAGATGGAACAGAAAAGTTGCTCCTTGAAGGTCGAAAAACTAATAGAAAAGCATGCTTGGATAACACTTGAGAAACACCGATTTGGAAGAAGTGGGACAGATTATGATTTTGCATCTTGTGATCCTCATACAGCAAGGGAAGATTTTGAAAAGCTAAAAGTTGAGCAATCAGGGTGTGTATCTGAGAAACCCTATCTGCTGCTTTTACACTATCATCAACATTTTTTGGCCATCTTCATATGTACAAATTGTCATTGTCATTGTCATCCATGAATCAAGCAGGAGTTCCTAGCACATTTTTGTCATTTCTTTTAGCCTTGAGAAACGAGTTAACAAGAAAGCTATGGCAATGTTTGAGAAATCAGAAGACGAGTACAATGATTTAATATCAAAGAAGAACATTATTGAGGTTTGTAACTATTGAACTGTTATAACTTCATTGTACTAAAATCTCTTTACTTGTCCTGATTTTGTCTTGCATAGAACGACAAGACAAAAATCAAGATGGTGATTGAAGAACTTGATGAAAAGAAGAAAGAAATGCTGAAAGTTACTTGGGTTAAGGTTAACAAGTAAGTTAAAACTAGTAGTTTATGTCAACAGTGTTCATATATTTCTTCTAGCTTTTAAAAGTACTGAAACCCTGTACTTACTCTTTAAGAATTTGTACTGCTCTTAGTGATTTTGGATCCATATTTTCTACACTATTACCTGGCACAATGGCGAAGCTAGAAACTCCTGAGGGAAGTACCTTCTTAGAAGGTCTTGAGGTTTGTGTTGCATTTGGAAGTGTTTGGAAACAGTCCTTGTCAGAACTTAGTGGTGGACAAAGATCTTTACTTGCACTTTCTCTAATTCTGGCACTGCTTCTGTTTAAACCAGCTCCACTTTATTTACTGGATGAGGTACATAACTTGTTTAGTTCCTAGAAAGAGTGGTTGACATGTCTCATCTCTAATATGTTCACTCTATAAGTGATGCATGTTATTTTGCTATTAGATGAGTTTGATTTGTTGTAACTTATGATGTCCTTATTTTATCCTCTCTATCCCTCTCATCTTCAGTTTTGTTGTTTCTACTGTCATGGTAATGGGTAAGTGTGTTAACCATCAAAGTCCCAACCATAGCTACTCATGGTAATGGGTAAGTGTGTTAACCAAATTGCATTATATTTATGTTCAAAGTCAAGGCAAATAAACGTGTTATGAGAATATTAGAGAACCAATTGTGAGGCAAAAAGGGGAAAACAGCCCATTTGGGCCAAACATTGGAAACAACACCGAAACAGCCTCGATATCATAATAGGCACCTTGGCCTACATTAAAAAAATGTGTGAAAGGAAGCGGCGCATTGATTGGAAGCATGGTTAAAGAGTTAGACAAAAAAATGTGAGGAAAAAGACGAAAACGGGCCATTTGGGGGCAATATAAACTAAAAAACCCTAAACATCCCGGAGATCATCACAGTCACCTCCGACTAGATTAAAGAAACTTGTGGGACCAAGCGGTGTGTCGATAGGAGTAGGGTTGAAGCAGGCGAGAGAGGTGAAGAGTCTGTTGATGCAAGTGAAGAGTCTTTGTTAGATAAAATGGGATATTTATGTTGCTTTGCCCTAGATCTTTTTAGCCCTGTCAAGTTTTTTCCTTGTTGGGTGTTCCTGGTTTCCTAGTGGTATGGCGTTTATGAAACCTTCTATTTGTGGCTTTGATGAATGGAACATTAAGTTGACTCATAATTTTAGGATGATGTTATGGAAAGAAAGAAACCCACAATCTACTGAATTACTAGTAAAGACTAGTATTGTAATTTTCATGATTATATTTTTAGAGCTGTTTATAATTTAGCTAGTTATTTGAAATCTTTTAGCTTTAGAAATTACATGGACCGAATTTCATCAGATTTGCATCAGATCTTAGAAATATTGAAGGCAAACTAGTTGGTGTCTATAGCGTTAGGTTCTTGGGACTTCTGTTACAACTAGAAGCTTGTTTACTATAAAGCTTCATTCAATATTTTTGTTGCAGTATCTAAACATTGAAATGGCTCCTCATTCCCTACCACTTTGGAAAATTCAATCGAACTTTCTTTTGTAGGAGACCCTTACAGGCACCTCATCCAAGGTTGCATTTAATAATATATTTTCAATATATTTGAGATGTGGTAAGGGTTTGTTTTTATTTTTACGTTGTAGATAAACAAGCTTCTTCTCTACTATCTCATAGAAATGTAGACTATAGCACTTGGTAAATCAGCTATCAAACATGATTTTAATTTAAGGGAAAATCCTCTTTATCCCTTAAGGGTTTGGCCTTGGAGCACTTGACTACCTGTCAATTAAAAATACCATAGACTCCTCATGTGCTTTTAGACTAAATTGCAACACTAACTCCGTAATCTTAATACCTATCTACTTTCTTCTCATTCTCTCTCTTCTGTTATATATATAATATTTTTTTTATTCTAATTACATGTTAACCAAATAAATTATTAGCCTATACACCCTAACATTATAATTTATTTTGTAAGTTATATCTTAATTTATAATTTAATCATATTATACACATATAAAATTGTATATATAAATGAACAAGTTTTAGGATACGCTGGAGTTATTCAAATTCTACTATGTTATGCGCACAGCAAACAAGTATAGACCAAATCACCTAAATTGGAACAAAACATTTCATGCTCGTTTTAAATCCGGCAAATCGTTTTGAGAAACAGATTTTGAAAGAAGTGCCAAACATGGACTGCTTTGCCAGATACAGAGTCGCACCCTAAATGTTTTTTTTAATGGAAATTAGGAAACCTGACTCGGTGCCAAAGGCCACGTGTTCGTCATCACCAAAGTTTGCCTCGGCTCGGGAACTTGAGTACGATTGGGGAAGGTCACTTCGTAAGCACCCCGCTCGCCCGTCAGAGACTGCCTCTACTAACCATGATATCTATTTTTGAAAACATTGTATGTTTCTTATTCGTTATTAGCCTTAGGTTACTATGTGATGCGCACAGCAACAAGTATAGACTGAGTTATCTGAATTGGAAACAAACATTTCATGTTTGTTTTGAAAGATGGTTTGCTACTCGCAAGTAGGCTTAACATGCAGGTTTTGCCACCTCGGGTGGGCTTAGAAAAGATGGTTTGCCACTATCTATGGGCTTAAAACAAACATTCAATGATATTTCCAATTCAAATACCCAACCTTCACCACAGGCATTCAGGCAGTATATCACATAAGCAAATAGCCTCATGGTAAGCATGCCTATTTCATGGCAGTCACTCACACGCATGCAAGGATGCTAAAGCATAAAGCTCACCGAGTACTCAA